ACTTTCTGGTAGGAAACCTCTTAGTCTTCTTGCGACTTTAATCTTCAAGGTTTTTATTGGACATCGCCAATGAGCTTAAACTTTCTGTTGACCTCTATGTCAAATGAATTAGATGGTCTACGTGATATGTCCCAATGGTAGGTTAAAAAAATAGATCTATTGATTTTCTTCGATCTTCGTGGATTCGTTTGACAGTGTTGTGCACAGGATTGACCCGCTTACACTTTCTAAAAACCATTTTCATGCAACCTTGGATATTCTCAATGATCAAGGAATCGAAATTAGTTGATTGTGTCCGTTGTTTTCGTAAGGCTAATTTTCATAAGCTAAATAATCTTAGTTGATCGTGTCCGTTGATTTCGTAGGGCTAATTTCATCTTATTAGGGCTAATATTGATCTTAGTCTGCAAGTCGATTGGTCCCACACATTGATGTTTGACATTAAACTATTTTATATACCCTTTACGTGCTATTGATGTCTGTGTTCCTGGATGAAATGACGAAATGTGAAGTCCAGGTGTTATGAAAGTTTAAGATGACACCTTTTCTATGCGAAATTCCATATGCTATAAAGATTACTTTTGCCGTTGTCGCCTTCAGTTTTGCACATAATCCTAATCCCCATTTTTATTGTAGGCAACTCTAAAACGTAAGAGATCTATTTTGGCATCTTCGGTTGTTTGCAATAAGAGCTCGAATACTGATCCAGGCATAAAATCCTATTATTACAGAAAGTTCGTTCTCAGCGACCTTAATACAATCAAGCCTGTTTACTCACCGAGCACTGATGGCGTTCCCGCTTGTTTGCTCAGGTACTCTGTTTCAGCCATATGTTAACCAATCTTAAAATTTTTTGAATTGTCCATAAGCACTATAATTTTTTTCGACCATTTGGAAAGAATACATTATCCCTCTCCATAAGACAGATAGTAAGGTCGATTTTATAAACTCTAGAGATATTTCCATGAGGTTATATAAAGTTATATTATTTTAACAACGTAGATCAATAACCACTAACCTTCTTGGGTTTACATCGCTAGTAATTGATGGGTTAAAAAAAAATGCAGACTGATGTCATCTATACTGATTTCAGTAGAGCTTCAGAAATTATGCCTTCTCTACTTCCTAGTCAATCTCTTGAACTGGATTTCAGAGTATTTGCGTAACAGAAACCTTGGTAGCTTACCGTTCGAGCGTATCAACAGTTCCCGTAATGAAGATGTTATTCTCGACTGTTTTGAGTTCCATCAAGCGATGATCAAACGAGGCTGAATGGCATTTCGCTGATATCAACTGTTTTTAGTAATGATTTTTTTCAAAACTTCGATACAAATATCGATAAATCATCGCAAAAAACACGAACTTTTCGGGGCGAATTTAGAAATTTTGAAAACGTGTAAAATGTGTTTGCTTATGGGAGAACGCCGCATTTTACACATTTATCAAAATGTGTAAGAAATGTGGACAGTGGAATAAGGCTAAAAACGTACTAATATGTGTTTGTTTTAGTTGAACAGTTCAGTTATCTAAATATGACAATTTTAATTTTATATGTCCTGCTTTATCGGTATAACTCCATTTAACTATAAATTGACAGGCGTCGACTGGAAATACAAATTATTCGAGTGAAAATTTTTAAAATTTTATATTGTGCAAAAAATTTCTTTTATAGAAATGGATCTAGGCTTGTGGTACTTTAAGCTTAAGTAACAGGTTCCTAGGTATAGTATATTCAGTATATTCAACCTATTTTTTATGGTGATAGTAAATATATTAAAAATAGCACAATAGTTTGGGATTTTTCAATAAAAACAAATTTCATTAAAGTTATAAGTTTATTGTTAGAAGATTTTGTGGTTATAAATTCGAAAAAATAAATGATTAACTTTTTTCTTAGTTTAAATATTGTTTTAATATTACATAGCTATTAAGATCGAAAAACTGCATTTACTTTTAAGCATTAAGAATATTCTATAAGAAATAAGTATTTGTTCAATTGTTTGCTTGAAATTCTTGCATGGTATTATGAATATTGCTTAAATTGCATAGTTTTACTATTTTAAAAATTGTGGAGATTATTATTATTATTATCACATGATTTTCATTTACAGGCAAGAGATTTTACAAATGTTTTCTAGCTATAGAATTGTGCTGAATAAACAAAAAGCTTTTTAAAAATCGTTATGGATGAAAACATATAAATAGATCGCCAAATATTTTTCATTATATATTATATGTACTATACAATTATTACTTATAAAATGCTGTCCTACGACTTTCAAGATTTTAAATCGATATAAACGGTACAAATACTCAGATTATCAATAGGCTGGATTTTATTTCAACGTTATTCGAAAGATCAACATTTATTAATTTTATTTTGGTTAGCATAACAGATCGGTTATTTGTGATTTTACAACCTACTGCCAATTTAATTGAAATCATGCGGCACAAAGTTGATTTACAAGCCGCAAAACGAATTTTTTTTTGTTTAAGTAAGGGTTTAAATTCATTCTATTTAAAAGAGGTAAGGTGTAAGTCGTACAATGAGTATAATTTTTTCCAACAGCTGAATAAGTCCTGCAACGATATTATAGGCTAAGCCTTTAACACTTATCAAAATTTGACCAAGGGATACCCCGACCTCCTTATAATATAGAATTGAACTGTTTAAAAAATAGACATTATTCTTCGCGTGAAATCTTATTTAAAAAATTGACTTTATATTGCGAAATATCCTCTTAAAAAGAAAGCCTTTTTGTAAATTTTTATTGACGACTTATAGGCTACAATGAAAAATTCTGTGAATAATGAATTTTAAAAAATGTGAAAAGATTTAGTATTCGAAAGCCTATTTAGGGTATCCCATACTCAATCTAAAAAAAGATCATTGGGTTACTGATATAAATGTTGTTTTATAATGTCAAGCACTTAGAAAAGTCATTAAATGTTAAAAATACTGAATCATGTATAAGTATAAATATCTCTTTAATTGCTTACATTTTTACTATATGTATAAAAAGAATTAAGTAATTCTGTCCGTGCTTAAAATAAAACTTTTCACACCATAATATTACAACTTTGAACCCCTTTTTTTTGCAATTTGGTATTAGTTTCTAAGAATACAAATTAGTGTGAGCATATATAACGATAATAGTTTTTAATGATTTCATGAGCTCATTTATAAATTGTGTGCGCTTGATGGCTTGATTACTTGAATTTTATTTGGCGTTGTATGTTAACTTTGAATTATTTTCACTGGAAACAAGGTTAAGAGGTACAGATATTCTTCGCCTGCGTGGGTTTCATTAAACTCAAGCAAAGATTGTGATTTTGTTCGTTTTAATATAACATTTTTGAGTGTTTCTGCCGTTCCTACTACTGTCTCAGATATTTCCGTTTTGTATTTCTGAAAGTAAATAAAATTAAAATTAGACGAAATTAAATAAAAGGAAAAATACTTTTGTGGCATAATTTGTTATTTTTTTTTTATATGTATAGGTAAGTTAAAAGGATTACCCATCAACAGAGCAGGTCACTCAGCAACCACGCATAAGTTGCATGATCTGTTTATTTTTTTCCGATATACGACACCATGCACGACGCAAAATGTCAGGGCTTTTAGAGAGAAGTGCTACCTTACATTATAAGAAATTATGTTCTTTAAAGTTAGTTACATTTTCGAAAATAACCCATTGGGAACCTACAAGCTCCTTAACTTCTTAATTGGCGCCTCACGGCAACAACATAACGTCACCACCGACGGCGGTAACTAAAAAATGTTTACAACAACAAACAACTAATCTGCAATAATAGTCTCTTCCGAAGCCAGCATAAGAACAAAAACCGCAACAATATATTTAGCTTATAGGAATTAAAAAAGAGCATTAAAGTAGACCAATAGGATCACTGCGAATTAATAGAAATTGGACAAAAAGAATTAAGTATGACATAGTCTCAAGACCAATTGCACACAATAGATAAATCGCATTAAAGAATACGCTTGCCGCTTAGAAAACCAGTCTTGAGGCAGAAATACAAAATTCGAATCCCAAGAAGAAGGAAAATACAAGGACGGAAATTCGAAACACGATTCCGTGCAGTGAAATCTTAGAGATTTTAAAATCTTTTCCCGACTTTGAGGGAAAATATGGGACATGAAAAAAAGTGGTATACACCACTTAAAAAAGTATGAAAATACGATGGTAGTTTGAAACATTATATAATGGGTATGTATGCATATACAAACATTTGCGTATCATGAGAAACAAATTAAGGGTCCAGATGACATGTTACTAGCGTCATTCGACAAGCTTTAAATTTCAAACCTATTATACATTTTTAACGGAACAAGAGATGTCGAAGCTCCATCAAGGAAATCGGACACTTTTGCCATACGAGGTAGACAAAATGCATACGTTACCTACGAACCAAATCATAAACTATTATTATGCTGAGAGTGCGAAAGGTTTAAGGAAATAGAGACAAAAGTTAAAAGATGGAAATGGCCAGTACAATGACGATGACTTCGCAGAATATGATCAGTTTAATTTTTTTACACAACTCCTTGCTACCACTCTGACGAACACAGTGACGCCTCAAGATCTGAACTATGCTACTTCTTGTCACAATGACATTGGCTTAACTGACTGACTACTCGAACGTTGACATCCTGGTTATAGATAGAGACACGACAATTTGGAAAGATTTTCAATGCTAAGAGCACTCGACTCGAAACAGCAAAATTTAAAAAATAATTTTCCTCATTCGTAAATTAGACAGACTTTTAGCAAAATAAAATATCACCATTGCACGCCAGAAGCATCAATCTATTAGGCAGCGTTTTAAAGAATCTTCGGACTTTGATGACTATGAAAGAACAAAAATGACAACAGAAGTTCATTGAATTTGAAAATAAATAAGTAAACATTAACACAAAAATACAAGAACAGTTATATAAACTAAATATTCTAATAGAATTAGCCAAGTAAATACAAACAAACACCAAACATTGCTTAAATTAAATAGGATATTGATTTAGGAACACGAAACTGTAATATTATCTGTTACAATCACAAAGATTAAAAATAAATAATAACCCAGCAATATTAGACTCCAATAACTTAATGAATGTAACCCAAATCAAGATTTTATTAAAAACCATTTACATTTTTTAATTAAGAATTCTGACTAATGAGTTATGCAACACCCTTCAAATAACAGACCACTAAGAAATATTAAGTTTACCCTACTTATAAAGACTGAGTATATAAAACGTGCGGTTTGCGAAGTAAAACGGCCCTTAATATTTGGATTGACAGTAACTATCTTATTGGTTTACTAAAATGCCTTTTTTAAATTCTAGAAAAAGCGTCAGGGGACTCGAGGTCAAGGAAATAATCTCAATCTTTTTGAAGATTTCAAGTCGGCCGACGATTATCCAAAACACAGAGTGTCACTAACCAATCACGCATAAGTAGCGTTTTCGGACATTGAAGGCAACAAAGTTGCGGACGATATACACCATTAACGAGGTCTACAATCGTTTTGCATCAATTTACCACTGTTGCAGGTGGAATTTTATAAATCGCTGAAATACGTCTTCATAAAATTCTTATGTAGAGCTTTGAAAATAAGTTTTAAAAAAATCTTTAAATCGTATTTTGCACCGAGGAAGCTCGGATTCTGCGAAAAGCCTGAAACACGTCTCAAATGATTTTTATAAAGATCCTTGGAAACGAATTTAAAAAAAGTGTGAAAATAAGTTCCGATCAGATGAAGAAGAAACAAATTTTTATAAAAAAAATGTTCCACCTTGCGGGTGAAATTACCAGAAACCTTCATCGATGCATTGATTTTTTGGGCTTAGTTTAAAGTTTTGTCCGATTTGCATCAAACAATCTTTTCAAAGCTCTACATAAGAACTTAATGAATATCTGTTTCAGCGATTTCACCGAATTGGCGGAAAACAGTTGAGTTGTTTTTTTACATATGAGAATTTATTTTAAACGTGCCACGGACACGTATAGTATAAAAGCTGTATAAATATGAGGAACACAGAACAAAATGGTACTATGCTCATAAAATTGAAACCGAAATCGGTACCCTTTCACTCACACCTTAAAATGCTTAAAATAGCTCTCAGCTACGGCCCTGCAAAAGCTTTTAACATTTCTGTTTGTTTGTGAGTTTAAACCTAAAAGCATAAAAACTGCACAGACTATTGCAATCAACAAACGAATTTTGTAAGTTGTTCGCGCCACAAGTTAATATGTAGTATTTAGTAACGATTTCAGCGCTATTTAGTATTTTGCTTACATTCCTTGAAATACTAATTGGATTTAATAACTATCGATATTGTCGATCGATGTATGTAGGCAGATATTGTATGCAGGGAATTGTATTTTATGGTGGAAGGGCCCTGTACACGACACCCAACAGCAGCAACGGCGACAGCAGTAGCGATAAATGCCAACAGCAGCGGCAGTTCGAGCCTAATAAATATAAGCCAAATTTTGTCTAATTAGTTCTTAAGCAGCACTACAAATAAACAGTTGTGTTTTTTTTTTTATAAAAACAATCATCAATTGTTTTAATTGGCGCCGAGCTGGGACCACCAATAAAGGCTAACGCGTCGCGAAATAAAAGTGCCTCAAAGCGCGAAAGTTCAAGTACTCCGAAAAGTGCCTCAAAAGGGAGCCACAGCGCGAGTGCAAGCCATAGAGACAATCCTTACTGCGTTATCCTCTAACATTTTCCGGTCGTAATCGCCAAACCCCCTGTAGTACCAGTTCGTAGGGTACACGTACTAGTGTCTCGCAGGATCCCCTGTCGCCCGCCGTTGCTACACCGCTTTGCCGTTACCCTGCGGGATTAAAAGGAAATAATCCAAAACCAGCGGTGGAGATTCGCCGAATGTTAATTAACGTGTAAGATTAGCGTTTAAGTGCCAAAAAAAATTAAATCAAGAAAACAAACAAAAATATTTTTATAAGATTAAAAACAAACTTAAAAGAAAAATTCATATTTTGGAATATTTCAAAATCGATACACCCTATTATTACATTTAGATTAAGTAATCTGAAAAGCTATTTACAAAACCCTTTTATAATGTTTATATTTTAGCATGCTCAAGAATCAAGTGCCCAATGACAAAACGTAAAACGATAAATAAACTAAACACTGCACTTGCAGTATAAAATACGCCAATTCTGCGACTCTCAAGGGACCCTCCATAATAGAAGGAGAGAACCAGCCACTGGTTCTTAAAAAACAAAAACAAAAAACGAAAAAAAAAAAAAAAAAAATCAAAAATAATAAAAAGCAAGAGTCTCAAGTTGTCGGATTCATAAAAAATGCAGGAAGAGGATCTTTCCGACGTGGTAGCTAATATGAAACTCGGTTCATATAGTAACCCGTACGCCAGTCCAGGGCTAAAGCTGATGATTTGTCTTAAATTAAGGCCGATATCCCGCTCACGAGTCGGACTCAGGGTGAAGATTCAGAAAAGCTTCCCGATATAACGCGTTTAAAAAAGGAATTCTCAGGAGATAAATCCGCATCCGGGTCATGGAAGAAAAACGTCGAAAGAATAATAGCCATTTATAAGGGCCAAGAGCATATCTATAAATATTATTTAATTACTCTAGCCATACGCTATAAAGTAATAGGAGAAGCGGATACTGTGCTGTCGTACAATACCGCAATGAATTGGCAAGCCATTTCCAAGTGTCTTACAAAACATTACACCGATAGGCGAGATTTAAAAACTGTCGAGTATCAGATTTTCTCACTGATACAGGGTCGTCCTCTCCGTTACCGAATTTTACCAAACGGTATACCACCAGTTGTCTTTGATTCTTAATCGGATAAGTGTTCAAGAAGACAAACCAGAAATATTAAGGGCTTTGACGAATAGTTACCGAGGCAAAGCCACGTTCCTGCGAGGTCTAAATGGGGATTTACCTCGACTCCTGGCTATCAAGGAGCCAAGAGATTTGAGCCACGCCCTGCATTTGTGCAGCTTAGTAGAGAACTAAGAACAGAGAAATTCTTTTATACCCAAAATTAGACAATAACCGCCACCTCTACCACCTAGACATTTTTCAGCTCACCCTAATCCCAAATACCAACCACCAAAATTATACAAAATAATAGCTCCGGACAGTGGAGAAGATTTGATCCGACACTGTATTACATACATCCCAAGACCAGTCGCGAACTACCAGACTACACAACCAACAATAAATCATACAGCCAAACAATTCCCTCAGCCGACATATGCAATACGCTACACCTCAACAGTTCTTTGGGCCTAGGTTCTTTGTCTAGACAACCCTTCCCAGCGCCTTCGCGCCCAATGGCTCCCAAGCCGGAGATGGTTCCATGCGGACCGGAAATATTAATTATATGAACAGGCCCCCGGCAAACGATTTCGTGCGTAAACGCCCCCTACCGCAACCATCGGACCTCCTCCGAAATTCTCACGACAGTTCCATATAGCTACTGAAGCTTTGGAGCCAGCGGAAGAAAAGACCGAACCGTGTGCTTTATATTCCACAGACGTTGATGAACAAGCCTATTTCGAAAGCGCAGAGTAAGAAGGAGCTACCGTTTTATCTGATCAGACCGCATGCGAAGGCACAATCGAATATAACCCGACCATGGTTGAGGCCTCAGATCTCCATTTTTTAGACTAAACGCAACGGAACGACCCTTAATTTCCTCATCGATACCGGTTCAAACCAAAATTATATCCAACCCTACTTAATTCAGAATCCTAAACGAACAAACAAAAATAACACAGAATAGCTACATAAGTTTGTTCTCTCAAAAAGATAGCCAATCAATAGTATGTTACCCACACTTAAAACCTTCCATGGGATATTATTAACGTTAAAAACGACATATTAATAATAAATGGTAACTATAAAATTAAAAAAAAAAAAAACAACTAGCAACTCAAGCGGTCAATAATATTAAAGTAAGAACTGAAAACATGTCAACCACACACTCAGTCTTGTTCGCAGACCCAGACGAAAAACTGACCTACACCACGAAAGTGTTAGGCGAGATAAGAACGACATCGGACTCTCCGGTGTATAGCAAGCATTACGCCTACCCTGCTTCTCTAAGAGGAGAAGTAGAAAAAAAATGACATCAGTTGTTATATTATAAGACCTTCACGGTCACCGTATGGGTGGTCCCTAAAAACAAGCGATGCGTCAGGAGAAAAGAAGCATCGTATATTCATCGACTATAGGAAATTTAACGCGGTAACAATTTCGGATCGGTATTCATTTAACAACCGATGCATCAAACTACGCTATCGGAGCAGTCTTAGAACAAGACGGTAAGCCTATCACCTACATATCGCGTACACTTTCCAAGCGGAAGAAAATTACGCCACGAATGAGAAGGAAATCCGTATTTGTACGGAACTTCAAAAGTAATAATATTCCCCGACCATCAACCTTTAACTTTCGCTCTTAGCAACAAGAACCACAATGGGAAACTCAAAAGGTGGAAAAGCTACCTTGAGGAGTACAATCATGAACTACGAAACAAACCAGGAACTTCAAACGTAATTTCGGACGCTTTGTCCAGTAATCCCCCAAGACCCCAAGTAAATAGCGCAAATGCAACGGTACATAGCGACAATAGCTCGTCACATAACCTTATACCCATTATGGAAGTTCCAATAAACGTCACCTTTGAGGACGAACAAACAGAAATAATAATAAAAGAGCACACCAGGGCTCCGGGAATGCAATAGAAAATAAAATAAATCTTGAGTAAATTATTTTTTCCCAGCATGAAACGTAAGGTAGAAACGATGGCAAAAAGCTTCAAAACTTGTAAGGAAAACAAGTAGGATAGGCACCCGCCTAGAGGCGAGCTGCAACCGACCACCCATTCCTCTAATCCCGTTCAAATTATTCATATAGATTTGTACACTACCGAAAGAAACATTGTCTTTACCGCCATAGACAAATTTTCTAAATACGCTCAAATAAAAATTATGAAATCAAAAGCAGCTAAAGACACCAAGCACCCACTTCGTGAGGTCATGATCGCCTTTGGTATGACGAAAATAGTTGTTATGGACAACGAGAAGTCATTAAATTCCGCATTTATCAAATTCCTTTTGGAGAACCAATTGAAAGAAACCGTCTACACGACACCGCCATACACCTCAGTAAGCAATGGGCAAGTTGAAAGATTCCATTAACTCTGACCGAAATAATGAGATGTGTAAAGAAGGATGACGGATGTGTAAATTTTTTCGGAACTCAGCATACTAGCGAACCTCAAGAATTAGAAGATACAAAAACAGCAAACGTAAAACCAATAGATATTTTTTGGAAACATACAAAACAGTATGAGACAGGAGACATAGTATATGTCAAGATAGACAAAAGATTAAGCTCAAAATTCACACCAAAGTACAGAAAAGAAAAAGTATCAGAAAATAGAAAAAACTACAATCAAAACACAAAATGGTAGAAATACCCACAAAAATAATATCAAAAGATAATATTTCACAGGCTATTCTTGCCGACCTGTTTCGGTTTGGCAACAATCATAGACTACTCACACAGCTCGCAGCTTATTACGATAAAAACAGGCGCTGCAGCCTTACAAAATGACAGAGAATTATCCACGTATTTGACGTAGAGGAATACGAAATGGCGTTTGGTAACCTTCCGAACAGATTAAACGAAATAGAAAGAAGACAGCCATTTTTCCCGTACCGAAACTGACCTACGACGGCTCAAAACCAACCCAACGAAAAGTTAGAGCAATAGAGGCTCTGGGCACAGCATGGAAATGGCTAGCCGGTACACCGGACCACAATGACCATGAAATTCCTATCACTAAAATGAACGAAAAATTGGAAAAAAATAATAATCAATTAGTTATAAATAGAGTCTTAAGCAAAATAATTAATGAATTAAGCGAAGTAGCAAATAATATAAAGTATATAATATAATCCGAAACAGAAAACAAAAAGTTTAAAGAAGAAGGCTACTATTCTAAAATATAAGCTTCATATTTTCAAAGAAGAATTAAATAATTTAATTTACGCTATCGATTGGGCTAAAACAAACACAATAAATTCTGTAATTTAGTCTGAAATAGAAATCGAAAAATTAACAAGCCTCCTAGAAAACGAAAATATACTATTCATTAACGCAGAAGAATTATTAGAATTTTCCAATATCAAAATAGTTAAAGCATACTCTATATTATAAGCACCCCATTGTTAACTAAAGAAATTTGAACGGCCATATTATTATAGCCAGTTAAAAAGAAAACAGAATAAATAAATTATAATTTGATAAAATTATTAAATGCAAACATATTTTCGGAATTAGAAAAAATTGTGAAGCCCATAACGATAAGGTTATTTGGAGTAAAAACAACTTGGTAAAATTAAGCAACGACATATGCATTACACTTCTGCTGAGAAGCCAGGTGGCAGATTGTACAATAGCTATTAGCCAACATGTGCCCGACCACGAAGGACTTTTAACCGGTACGATTCTGTCTCGATAAGGAGACAATGGACTTAAAGGGAACATTCCTCATCCAATTCGAAAACCCTACAGTAAGAATTGGAGAAGACTAGTACGTGACGCAAACAATGATGTTCGCAGAAGCAACTTAATGGCGAAAAAAAAAAAAACAAAAAAACAACGACAAACAAAAAACAAAACGAAGTTCTGTCGTTACAAATGTTGAACGAGATCAAAATTAACAACGCAAAAGAGCTGGAAACCCTTAGGAGCAGCAACACCAACGGTACGCTTTCAGGCACACTGCTCATCTTAATAGAGGCAGTAGTCGTTCGCCTGATTAGGCAAAGAAGCATCTCGCAACAAATCAACGGGGGATGCTACTCCAACACTACCCAAACACGCTATTACATCGCGTCCGAGGACGTTCGCGTATTAAAGGGGAGGAGTTAAGAACAGTTATTACAAATACTAAGAGGAACTACTCATGCACCCAGCCCAACGATCGCGACTGAGAGCCACCGTGGGACAGCTCCACCATGGGATTCAACCTGGACACCCGACACCAACCAATAAAGCGGCAACGGCGACAGCAGTAGCAGCGGCGACAAACCGACGGCGACAAAACGCTAACAGCAGCGGCAGTTCGAGCTAATTAAATTTTAAGCCAAATTTGTCTAGTTATTTCTTAAGCAGCACTACAAATAAACATTTGTGTTATTTAATAAAAAAATCGTCAATTGTGTTAATTTATATATGTATATGTATATATTCATTATATATGATTATCATTATATATGGCTACATCGAAACTTACGCTATCGGATGCCATAAATAATTTAAATGCCTCCATAAGTCTGTTAAATGGATATTAATTTAAACACCATTACTTACCTTAAATACTAAATTTGAAAATGTGGGTGTCTCCTCTGCCAAGGACATATCCGATTTCTTGCATTCTATGGGGCTATTATCCCTTTCATATTCTACTACAGTAGTGCCGGGTATTTGCCTGTTTCCTGTTTATCATTATAAAAATAAAAAATACGTGTTTAGTACAAAATTTATTTAAATGGAACTAAAATTAAAATAGCTATTGTTCTAAGGAAAAAGTGTTCCAGCTGATTGTGAAAGTTGAAACAATGACATTTTAATTTTATTATATATTTTGTTTAAAACAGCTGTTATATGAGTTAAGAACAGCGAATATGAATAGAAAGTAAAGCACCCAGCATACATAACCAATTATCGACACGCACGCCAAGTCAGCGGCAAAGGCCATAACAGCGGCAGCGGCGACAAACCTACCGCAAGATGACGCTAGTAGCAATACGAGGCTAATTAATATTAAATGAAACAATTGTCAAATTAGTTCGTAAGCACCACTCAAAATAATCAGTTGTGTTTTTTATAAAAAACTATTAACCATTGTTTAATTTGTGGTACATTAATAAAACCTAGGCAGAAAACCGATATTTATCTATTTTAACAAAACAGTACAAGCTTGCACTTCATTAAATCAATCTAAAGGGATCTAAATCTTTTTAAAGACGTACTGGTAATTAATCTTTATGCGACATAATATGTTTATTTGCGCACCGTGTTTGACTCGAAAAATAGGACCCTTGTCCTAAATATGTAATAAAATTATAAGATTTTCTTAACATGGAATTTTTTCAAATATACTGTTATTTTTATACACAAATATTTTTTATCTTCCTTTATTTACATTGTATTTTATTGAATAGATTTTCTTCAAAACTGTACAGTTCGTTTAGTAGCATTGAAAAATTATATTCAATTACCAGCTTTTCTAGTATTTTAATACCATTTTAATATTATCTACGCCGGGTAGAAAATTCCCCGAAATTTTTTGATAAACTCTTCGTTTTTTATTGGCGCATTATTGGCTATCATTCCAGCGCTTATTGTCCAACTTCTCAATAGTTATTGGACAAATATTCATTCCGGCATGGGCCTTGGACACTTGAAGATTGCTGTGGACAACTCGCCTTTCCCCTGGGGTTGAGACAACAAGTTGCAGACTCCGGGGAGACCTTTTCGAATAAAAGAGTGGAAGGACACTGTAATCGCATAAGAAACGCTTGGCTGAAATCAGTCGAGTCTGCCAGCGATATTTCGGGCAAAAGCTGGTCCCATCTCTGAATTGCGCTATCATGGCTTTTACCGTTTGATAGAATCTTTTGGATTCTCTTGAGGCCAATAAGGGGCAGTATTCTGGACCTTAAGCCCCAAGGACTCTAATGACTCTAAATTTTCTAATCGACCACATTTTTGCCAGGCGCTTCATCCCCGTGGTGGGGAAAGTTTATCTCAAACTACAGAATCAAACGGCTTGCTCCAGCCATTCTGTCATCTGTGTCACCACCGCACTAAGACCATACTCATTCGCATAGGTCTGCCAGGCGAACTTGACCAAAAATTCGGGAAAAGATAGGATTGGGGCGGTCTTTCAACTAATGCAATGACGGTGCAAGGCAAGTTAAAGCGATACATTCCATAATATCGATCGCCATCGGTATTTGCCACTGCTATCTTAAGAATAAATGAAGCCGGCATTGCGTAACGGCCATAAGATATGACTGATTTAAGGCACTGGAAAACTAAACAATAAATGCCGAAGTTTAAACTAATATCAGCATATTTATATCAATAAGTTGAAGAATAAATACCGTAACATGTAACGAGGACGTAGGTGTGCCCGGTAGGACGTAACCGATTAAGATTTAATAACTGTGGTGGTATACAAAATCGAATTAATGTATGTGGCGGTTACCCATTGGGGGTACTCAAACCGTCGGCTAGCACCCATCGGAAACCCTGCAGTGTCCCTTTAGTACTATTTGGTTGATACACAAAACACAGCCTTTAAGTTACTGTCCGTGGATTCAAATTTCTATACAGTTTTGGTCGACTTTTCGTAGAAATCTACTTCTATTTCTGTTCGACGCTAGCAAAGAATGGGTGGTCTTATTCACTTATGACAAATTTTTATTTTGAATAAAGAATATAGTATAGATATCATAATGATGTCATACAATTAACAATATATTATATCTATATAAATCTATATCTATATAAATATATTTAATTCGTTCAAAAGAATTTTTTTATTCAACAATTTTTTTTTTTATACATGACAACATACATATTTTCGAATACAAAAGCATATCATAGTTATTACAATGATGACATTCTCTGTAAATTACAATTTATTATATCTATAAGATTTACATAATTCGTTCAAAAATATTAATAACCAATAGTATTTTAGTTTCATTTATGACAAAATTTATGGATACAGAAAATTTAGAAACTTACTCAAATTTGGTAACTTTCGTCACTCGAATAAGCTGGCGGCCACTTACAACATTGGGGCGCATACTGCCTTCGGGTCGACTTGACTAATCACTTACAAATTATGCATGTTATGCTTACCCCCTACACCGGTCCATTGAAACCCAAAGCTGGGCGGCAGCCGAATTGCAAACGCTGCATATTTGCGTGCGACATTCTCACGGTCGCCACTTAGAGCTTAGGCCGATCCTATTTCAAGTGCGCATATACACTTAGTGACAAATGCACCACACTCACAACATACACTATACTTGGACATACACTTATATATTAACATATAGCGTATTGATATGTCTACGGCTCATATTCAACGCCTTATACATAAGCCTTGGCAACAAAGCGCACCACCTGCAAGTTATAACATGATATTCACCAACCGAAAACAAGAAACCTAAGTAGCCTAAAAATTCAATTATTGGTGACGATAACAATAGTGGTGTGAGACCAACCACCGCATTTTTAAATAAAGTTATATTTTTAAGACCATTAAAGGACAGGCCTTAAACGCAAATCGTAGCCAACGAAAACGGTCGAGCGCGAAAAGCAAAATCTTTTGAATTCGTATCCGCAAAAGGACATTCACAGATTAAACTAAGTCAATCAAAAACCCGACATTGCAATTATCTAGTGCTCAAGTAAGTATTGATCCTTTGGACAATCAGAGCTACTAGGTAGTGAATCTTGTTCACTACACAACAGTGTGTGTGCCCTTAGACTTGCGAATCCTTTGATCTCTGAAAGTCGCACTAACTCGTAACGTGCGCGAAATAACGCCATAACAAATCACCAAGAAAACAATAACAACAAAAGTGAAGGGAAAAAATGGCCCAACCAACAGAGCCAATACTCCAATCAAGCGAGCAACATCTGTCATAAGCACTGGGCCAGATAAGGCAAGTGCTAACATTCAATGGAGCCACAAAAGTTGTAAGCGCATTCAAAAGGCGCATCGATTTCATCATACAATTATATCCATAGAGATACAAATAGGAGGAAACGCACTGAGGGTCACGCTGCTATCCGCTACCAACACCTCGACTGAATTGAGGGCAGCGCTCATCTCGGAGTTTAAAACGCAAATACCATTCACTGGAAGTTTTCGTAAGTGTGTATATTTAATTATTTACAAGTAGCACAAAGAGAAGATGTATACGATTTAATATTGTACGATATCCGAGTTATCAAAACAATCCGGCTACTTCTAATAAAAATCGGGTTAACAATGACCATCGTGAGTATGGAAAAACTCAAAATTATAGTCAGACATCAAAACAACAGAACTATAATAATACCACACAGAAAGCAAAATCCCAGGTTGACAGACAAATCAAGAGAGACAAATCAAGAGTTTAGTCTTAATTACAGTACAATAATACTAAATCAAAGTATTTCGCTGAAACCCAGCAAACTCGGTTCTATTCATCAAAAATTTTGTTTACATAATTTGTCTGATTATTATGACTTGCTATTAGGTCGAGACTTCCTAGGGAGTTCTCAAGCCCTAATAAATTACAAAAACAAGTAAGAGGTTCTAGTCGGGAGCTCCCGACTAGGGGATACCCTGAACCCTCTTCTCCCAACATCAAATGCATATATATATATATATATATATATATATATATGTGGAGCATCGATTTCAGGGACCCCAAAAAGTGGGGGTTTTCTCTTTGGGGAATCATGATGGAACTTCTAAATTAACCTCTGGGAAATTTTAACGGTCTTAGAAGCATAGCCTCGTGACTTATGAGAAATTTTATATACAACCATTATTTTGGGTACACACCATGTAACGTGTTTTACGAGGACTCAGTTCCCGAAATACTCTCAGTATATAACATAAAAATTTTCCGTATAATGAACTTTATATATAAGGTCAGTTTTAGGAACAAAAACGCAGGGTTGCCATATGCAGACCTTTTTGCATAAGCAACGTGTATTATAAGGACACAGGAACGATGAGATTTGGTCCAGTTCACACTTCAATTTAGTAAATAACAGTCAAATAGCTGTCCCCAAAAACATACTGATTTTATATAAATATAGAGACTCATATATAGAGGTTATGAGGACTAGGGAACAGTGAATTTCGATAAAACTCACTAAACTAAATAAATATAACGCTAAACCACGTAAGACTCAGCAATATTTTATTAAATTTATACATTTTAAATTTAGTGGCAGACTGGCTTAATTGAAATTAAGAGTCAAATTTATTTTGAATGTAGTTTTGGATCACTTTAGGTTAAAGTAAAATTAATAATGTGAATTAACATAAATGACGTTATTAAATACATGCATTTAAAATGAATTTTTTTTTAATTCCAAAATTTTTTAACATAAATTAATATTAATATACGAAAAAGTATAATCCACTTATTTTAAATATGGTCAACATATTTATTATTTAATCTATTTGCGGAGTTCCTTGATTTAGCCTTGCGCTGATTATCTATCCATGTTTTTACTTGCGCCGGTGTCCTACATTTTAGATATGTAGAATTATTTATAACTGTGTTGCATTGATTAAGTGACGGCAATCCTTTAAGCGACAACAGGTCGCCAAAAGCCTGGTATATTTCTTCACGCTCTTCATTCGACCACCGGTTTCTTATCGTTTTTCCAAATGATGATCCTGTTAAAT